GTTAGCACCAGCTGACAGCAGGGTGCTAAGCTAACGGTCAGGTTGAATGTTGTGCTCTCTAAGCTAACGGTCAGGTTGAATGTTGCGCTCTCTAAGCTAACGGTTAGCACCCAGCTGACAGCAGGGCGTCTGAACTGCATCTCATTTGATCAACGGTGTCAATTTATGGCTCCATCTGACAGGTGGGAATAAATGAATTACATTTAAGTCCATTCTCCATGTTTCAGGCAGTCTTATGCATGTTTACGGTTTTACGTGTTTCTTACTGCGGCGACAAAGTAAATCTGAAGTAAAGCCTTTGTGCAGTGAAGACAGAAGCCTGTAAACACTGACCGACGGTCTCTAGTGAACGGAGGTCTGCATAGAAAACACATCCACAAGCGGCAGTCGGGATTTTCAAGCGACTTCCATGAAAGGGCTGGACTGAGGGCCACAGAGATCCAGCGCCTCATCCGGCTGTCCAGAGTCCAGCTCCTCCCACTCACAGTCTGGAGCGACTCGGTGGGAGAGCAGCCGAGTCGTGACTGAGTGCAGCTTCATAAGAGCCACGATTAAAGAAATAAAACCAGAGACGGCCTGCTTCCTGATTTGTCCTCCGTGTGCTGAGGTGTCGTTTGTAGCCGTCTGGCTGTTTCACAACCCTGAGGTGAAACCGGAGGAGCGGATCCTCTGCATCAGCCCGACACGTCTGTAAACACAGAACACGACCAGGATGTGAAGCGCCTCGGGTCAGGGAGCTCCGTGGCCGTGAAACAGGCCTGAACAGGTCCAGGCTTGGCTCTGGGACCTCTCAGACGTGGAAGCAGCAGCAGACGGCGGCTTCGGCTTTGCCAGAATGTGTCTGCAGCTGCATTTCCACCACATTTGTTTCAGATTAATGCTGCTCTGGGCCAGAAAACATGGCGACCGCTGGTTTCTTCTGGAGGGGAGCCGACGCTTCCAGTTCACAGATACTGGGAAATCTGAACTACTACGGCTTTGGACGGAATAAACCTGTAAACCCACAACATGTCAGCTGGACAGGACTAGTTTTAAGGAACTACTCATAGTTGGACACAAAGGAGTACTTTGACTGGATGGTTCCTTTAAAAGTGCTTGGACAGAAAAAAACACTTTAAGTGGAATAAACCAATTAAAGCACAACTTGTGAGTTAGAAAGTACTATTTTTGAGGAACAAACCTTTAAAAACATAAGTTTTTGGACATAATTAGGTATTCTGAGTGAAATAAAAGTAATATTAAGTATATTAAGCACTATTTTGAATGGAATAAACCTTCAAAACTATAACCTGTTAGTTAGGAACTACTAATTGGGATATACCAAACCTTTAAACGATGAGGACGTTGACAGAACGTTGTATTTTAAGTGGAATAAACCTGTAAAAATGTAAGTAATTGGACACAATGAAGTACTTTAGGTGACATAAACCTTTGAAACTATACATATTTATAGTATTTTTGGGTTAAATAAACCCTTAAAACTATAAGTCGGCTGTTAGAAAGTACTAAGTGGGTGGATTAAACTTTTAAAACTATGAGTACGTTGACAGAACGTTGTATTTTGGGCTGAATAAACCTGTAAAAACACAACCTGCGAGTTAGAAAGTACTATTTAAATGGAGTAAAGTGTTACAAATATCAGTAATTGGACATAATTAAGTAAGTACTAAACCTTTAGAACCATACCTTGTAATATATAACATGTATTTAAGTGGAATAAACCTTTACAACCATAATTAATTAGTTAAGAGTTCCAACTATGACTATTTGAGAGGACAGTCTGCGCCTGCAGCGGCAGCAGGAGACGAGCCCGTCGAAGGTCTAACGCTACCTGGAGGATGACATCTACAACAGAACATTACAGCAGGTTCTTACAACACATGTGGACAGCTTTTTGAGTTAAATTTCGAATGTGTAAAGTCGTGACTTACAACAGGCTCGAGCCTCTGGTTTGAGGCGACACCTGCTTCGTTCTCCAAAGTCCAATTCTAAGATAAAAGCAAAATAAACAGGATGCTCTTGAGACAGTACCAGACGTTACTACAGCACTACAGCGACGGCAGCTCCTGGGGATGCAGTGGTTTTTCTACATCATTACAGACAGGCAGACCCCTTTAGCTAGTCCTACACAGGGAACAGGACCTGAACCGAACCTCAGAGGACTCGAACGGACTCGTCACAAAGCACACAGGTGCTTCTCGTGTTCTGCCGAGTGCCCCAGCTCCTTCGCTACTGCTGGCCGGTCCGGTGAAAGACGAGCGCTCTGAAAAGGCTGCTGCAGCTCGGAGCCGAACACACAGCGCCGGCGGTGTCAGCAAACAGAACCGTGGACGGACTGGGGTCCAAACCCGGCAGCCACCGTTACAGTGACGTAACGTCTGAGCGTTGGCTCTGCAGAACTTAAACACCAAAACAGGAGGTTTGCAGCAGCAGAAGCAGAACCGAACTCTGCTGTCGGGTTTCAGACGCCTGCTGGAAGGAACCAGGCCTGTTTAACAAGTTCTAGCCGACCAGTACCAGCAGCTCTTCGTCACATGACAGGACAGCTCCAACAGCCCCGGAGGCTTCGTTTATGGGTTTCCATGTATGGAGGGACTGTTCACTCAGATGACTGATTATCCGTCAGCAGCACTGACGGACCATCTTTTCATTTAATCATCTATGTTTTGTGTTGATTGCTGTCACTGAAAACGCACAGGTGTGTAGTTTTCTGAGCCGTTACACCCTGTTGGGCTCGACACATGTGCAGAACTTATAGAACAGCTGCTTCTGGGCTTCACCGAGCAGCTCTCAGGGATCCATACGTGGCTTTAACTACATGAACCAACATGTACAACACTCCCCCTGACGGGCAGACGTCCTGTTGGAACTGAGTGAAGTCAGCCGGACCTCCATCACGAAGCCCCACAGAAACCTGCAGGTCCAGTGTGAAGCTACACAGCACCAGAACCCCTGAGGAGCGTGTCAGGCTTGACATGGAGCGTCACCGGACACTTTCAGAATAAAAGGTTAGTAAATGAGAGCCCGAGCATCAACGTGTGGCATCACGTCCACCGTCACGCCTCAGCGCTCAGCGGGCGTCCAGCCGGCACACAGCGCCGTCATTCTGGGCGAACCTGGATTCGGTCCGATCTGACTGGATGCTGTGCGTTTAAAACTTGTTTTCAGGAAGTCATGGCAGCCCGTGTGAGGCGTGAATGTTCCTGAGGTCAGCCAAAGGATGCAGCACGACGTCAGCTGGACCGAATCCAGACGCCTGCCGGGCCAGAACGGGCCTCCGGCAGCACCGCAGCGCTAAAAACTGTTGTGTCCATGGAGCGACGGCTGACCAGGACCACAGCCACCCAGCTGCCCTCCCGCCTCCATCAATCAAACATGAAGAAAAACAGAACATAAGCATGCCGGACAGGAGTTAAGACCAGAGCAGAACACACGGTTCTGAGGAGAACTACCACTACCAAGATACTACAAACTCACAAATGGGCTGCTCCATCGCAAATCATCCGTCTACGACTTACCTGAGGCTGTCTCATCAGAAGCTCTACGTATCTGGAAACGTTAGCTGTGAGGTTTTCATTTTGTTTTGTTTTAAATCACCATCGACCCACTTCCAGCAGGTGTTTCCTTCATGGTTAGATCTGAGTCTGTTTGAACAACAGTAAAGATAAAAACCTGCAATGTTCTGGTATTTCTCATCCTGTCCCTGATCCAGAACCTGTCATATCAGACAGCACATCAATAATCGGATTACTGATGAGATGAACTGTGAAAAAAAAAGTCATGAAAAGTTCCATGTCTGATGTGGTTCAGGAACATCACTAGTTTTTGTTAATGAGCTCAAAGATGGAACTTTTCATGACATATTTCATCTCATCAATAACCAGATTATTGATCTGCTGTCCAATATGACAGGTTCTGGATCAGTGACATGATGAGGAACAACAGAGAACATTCCAGGTTTTCACCTTTAATCGTTCCTCAGATGTTCAAACAGCCTCGAGTTTCGATGTGAGAACAAACCTGCAGAAAGTGAGTCGACAGGCAGGTTTTGAAAATGTTTCTCTCAGAAAGTGTTTGCTATATGAAGCTAAAACATCCCGAGTAGCTTCATAAACATCCAGATTTTCCACTGTCTAAACTTCAGGTAAGCCGGAGATGGCGGTTGTCCCAGCAGCTTTGCGATGGAGCGACCCAGATGCTTGCTACCAACCTGCGGCTCTGCTAGCATTGCTTGTCATCTCACTTAGAACAGGATCGACTGAATGAAACCCTGGTTTCTGTTCGAGCTACAATTGACACTCGATGTTTGACTCGGTTGGTCTGAACGAGGTGAGACTTTGTGTTTTAACCAAGCAACGGCACACCTGTAGATGAGTAGCGAGCACGTGGTTCGTCAAGATCACTGATCACTTCCGCAAGAAACACGGCCACGTAGCCGCAGCGCTGCAACGGACCTTCGTGAAGCTTTTCACAGCGAGCGGCGTCTGGCGGTGACGTCCGGCTTCCACCTGGCGTGATCGGCTCACTTACAGGTGCAGCAGGCGGACTCTGATCCACCACCTCTACGTTTGTGCACCAACCAGAACATGCCGTTTAGATTTTGTGCAGCCGGCTTAGAAAGATTCACTCCAATCCCTGACTGCACCGCATGTGGCGGACCGATTTCTCACAGAAGGATGTTAGTTGAGAGGGGGGAAAGATGAAGGGATCAAATGAAGAACAAACCCTGGATTTGAGAAGAACAAAGCAGCCCTTACCTTGCTTCCCTCGGCTTTCGGCTCCTGTGATTGCAAGTGATTCAGAGAGGAATGTTTAAAAGTGCTGCTGCAAACATGAGCTGGGCTCAGCTGGACACCAAGTCAACAGCTTCATCCAATCACAGTACTGCACCACGGCGCCACACAGAGCATTATGTGTCTCCCACAAGCCCTTCCCTGGTTCTAACCAACGCCCGCCATGACAGCATCTCAGCTACAACACGTGTGCGTAAACTCAGACAGAAGCACGTTGCTGCACCGTCACAGGCTGTGTTCAGAGCTGTTAACTGTGAGAATGTCCGACCTGGGAGTTCTTGTATTTCTACCATCATATAAAACCTGTGGAGCCATTTTAGAGGTTTAATATCTCCAGAAATAAAAGTCCAACAGCCGAGGAACGTGGTGACTCAGACAGAACGGTTTCCCAACAGCTGAGTGGATCCATCAGAGGACACATTCTCAACTTCTGTGAAAATGGAAAAATGTGCATAGTTTCCAAACTTAGGTGGTGTTGTGTCTCCAGAGAGTTCCTGTCAGTGTCTGTCTATGGATGGATCCATGTTCCACCAACTGTTGAGGCTCTAGCATCAGCAGAACCTGGCGTGGTGATGTTGGACCAGACGAGGCTCCAGGTTTACATGTTTTACCACAGTGAGTCTGTTTGGATCATTCCAGACCCATTCTGAGTCCTCCTGAACATATTCAGTGCCATTTCAGACAGTTGTTGAATCCTTTTGGGGAATTCTGTCGTGATTCTGTGCCATTATTGAGTAATTTTGGACATTGAAATGTTTCTGTCATTTATAACATATTTCTGAGTCATTTTGGACAAAGTTGAGGTGACTTCAGACACACTCTGTGTCCTTGTGGACATGTTTATGTCTTCATGGACTAATTTGGAGTCATTTTGTCTCAAGTTATTTTGGGCACAGACGGTCGTTTCCAGCAGATCTCGATAATTGAAAGGATCCAGCAGAGCTCACATTTTAAATGTCTGGTTCTTAAAACTTGAAGGAGGTGTTGTGGCTCCAGGAAATGAACATATACGGATGGGTCCATGTTTCCTACTAAAAACTCATCCGGTTCAGTGTTCATACGAAACCACGCTTCACATGCAGCTAAAGTTAAACATGAAGACAACCTGAAGCATCTGGTAGCTCTGCACATCTAAACCAACAACCAGAACCTGTGAACTCCAGGTTCTGGTTCCTACCAATGATCCACGTCAACATTTAGTGTAAACATCTAATAACTGGAGCCTTGTCTGGTCCAACTCCACCACATCAGGTTCATGTTAGAGCATCAACAGTTGGTGAAATGTGACCAAAGACTGGACTTTACTCATTTTGGACAACGGTTATCTTCTTTTGGACACATTTCCAGTAATTCTAGACAAGGTTAGGTCACTTTGGACAGGCACGATTACCAGGAAATGTGGAAACATCCATATGCACGCAGTACAACCCTGGTTTGTAAATTCTGCACCTTAGTCTATTTTCAAGGACCGATAATCAAACATGTGTCCTCTGCTCGATCCGCTCTGTGTCCTCACCACACGTCATGGCTGAAAATCAAAGACAGGTTTCTAAAAAGGGAAAAATAGACCAATCCCCAGGTTCCAAAACATGAAATTCCCAAAATTCAGCCAAAATATTTCACAGAGCTTAGCTTTAGTAAACAAACCAGTAAACTCTGAGCTGAATGTGAGACGGTGCAGCGACGCTGATGTTAACGGGGTTCAAGTTAAACTGAAGGACATTCAGTGTCCCAACATCAGTCGTGTCTGTCTTTCCTACATCACTGATGAAGCTCTCGTAGTTTAAAGAGCGTCGCCATGCTGTCAGTGGGGACAGTACATATGTGCTGATCCAGAAAGTGCCCTTGAGTTACTGAAGGTAAAAGACACGAGGCTCCTCTGCAGGAACCCTGAGATAACACACTGAGCTACACTGAACTGCTCCTCACGACTAACGAGGGAAATAAAGGCGAGGACTGCACATGAGAAGAGGAGAATATTAATAAAGCAGCACTGCAGAGGGCTGCCTTCACAACACACAGGCTGCTGACAAGTGGTTCATCACTGGTCGCACATTTTAAATGCACACAGAGCTAATTAGTGAAGTGACTCTTCCCCTCCTGATTCTTCTTCATCCTTGAGCGTGGTACAACAGTAATATCTGCTCAGTGTACCGTGTGCATGCTGAGACTGTTAACGCTGTGTTCACACTGTGAGCAACATGACAACCGGCGGACCGCATCCTGCTGCAGGAACTCATCGCCGCCTGCAAGTCAGGCCGCCGGAGACGACCACGCTTCCACACGCCGAATACACGCCTGTGTTACTGCTGAAGCTTTTATTCATTGTCATGCCAGCTGAGGTAAATAGTGGTCATGAGATCTGAGTGAAGGGCACATTTACAGGTATGATCCTGAGTGGGCTTAACCACCAAGTGACATGAACGGGTCAGCAGGTATGCTCTTTTAACCTGCTGGATCTCCATGGTAACTGATGCTGCACAGCCTGATCTCCATGGTAACTGATGCTGCACAGCCTGATCTCCATGGTAAC